AAGTTGTGAATGTTTGGGTCAGCCTTAGACACACTGTGCCATGGGCTACAGGATCCAGCATGGAGGAAGCCAGGCAATCAATAGGATCACAACCCTTTACTTCAGGAGAGATATCTTTGGCCTCCTCAAGGATTTACCCAGAGGAATCCCATGGGTTAGGGAGCTAGAATGGAAGGATGTCCAAGAGAGCTGGTTAATACTCAAGCATCGTTTCCTCCAACCTCAAGAGTGGTGCATCCCTGTGAATAAGAAATCACACAAAGCAGAGCAGAAGACCTGCATGGATAAGCAAAGAGCTTCTGGCAAAACCCAAAAGGAAAAAGAAAGTTTACAAAATGCAGAAAAAGGGATGGGTTGTTTGCAAGGAATACAGGCATGTTGTCAGAGTATGCAGAGATGTGATGAGGAACACTCAGATCCACTTGGAATTGGGAAAAGGGATGTCAAGGACAACAAGAAAGGTATTCCACCTCATTTTCTCTAACCTGTTTTCAAATTACACGGTGAGCCTGTAAGATGGAATGGGTTATTTCATATCATAGCGGAAAGAGACTAACTGGGTGCACTTACAGTACAATAATGACGGCTGCTTATTATCATCCTGCTAACTCTATTTTGTGCTTTAACCAAATAAAAAACAGTAACAAACAAGATAGTGTATTTTGTAGCTGAATATCTGTCTTTTTACATTCTGCCGATTTTTTTTTTACAGTTCAATGAACTTAATGTAAAAATACTTTTGGAAAATATTTAAGTACTATTCTGTAGCTCCTTTTTGAATTACTGTGAATGCATTTCATGTCTGAAATGCCTAGTTGTGAGGCTTTTTGTAATATAAGGTTGCAACATACTTGCTAATAAAGCAGCTGGCATGGTGTTCTGTTAAAAAATGAGCCTGTGGCTTCTCATTTTAATACACATAATTTGGTAAAGCACTTGTCATTTAGCTCAGGTTGCAATAGACCTTGAAAAATCATCCCTTGTTTAACACCCTGACCACTTGACTAAAACCTCCATGATGGGGACTCCACTAAGGCCCTGGGACATTGATTGTTTCCACTGTAAAAAATTTCTCTCTTATATCAAAATGAAACCTCTCTGAGTACAGCTTGTGCCCTTTGCTTGTTGTCCTCTCCATGTGTGTTCTTGTGAAGAGAGAGCATTCATGCTTTTTGTGGCTGCCTTTTGGGAACTGGAAAACTATGATTTCCAGATGATGGATTCTAGCCTGTCCTGGGAACATGCCCAGAGGCATAGCCTTGCACTTGTCTTTATTAAACTTCATCCTGTTCTTTCTATCCCACTCTTCCAGTCTCTCCAGCTCTCCCTGTAAGATATCCCTCCTGGCATGTTCAATGCACCACCCAGTTTGGTACCACCACCAGGTTTGGGGAAGGTTTTGGGATTTTCAATCCCACCATCCAGACCATTGAGGAGGATGTCAAACAGCATGCAGCCCTATAGGGATTGGCAGTAATTCCTCCTGAGGTCTTGCAGGAACAGAAAGTCACTCGTGTTTGGTAGGTGTGAGCTTCCCTGGAGCTGATCAGAGGAGGAAGTCATTGGTGAGTGAGGAATCAAGTGGAAAACTAAGCCAAGAACCAGCCTCCTTCAGGTAAGCATCAGAATTGAGAGTTTGGTAAAGGAACCTCTGCAGCAATAAATCCTGAATCAGCCCTCTTGGACTCAGAGAGGGTCAGAGAAGCTGAGCTCTAACATTAGCAGGGGTTGAGTGCCAAGCTAAGCCCTTATGGGGCTGAGATATTTAAAGTTGTGTTTGCTTCTGAGAGGGGCAGTGCCTCTGACCCATCCTTAGACAGGGAGGGGGCCAGAGAGCTCATCAGGGATATTTACTTCAATATGATTTGCTTTATTTTTGAAGTATTTTTTCTTGATTTTGAGCCTTGGGAAGACTCTTTCTGCTAAGTTATAATAAATCTCTCTATTCAGAGTGGAAACGCTGATCTGAAAAATTTGATATTGTTTTCAATGCAGAAAAGACAGCAATGTAAGTTACTGGTGTCACTGCATTTTAGTGATCACCTTGTAAATTTTGAATAGGATTCAAAAATAAACATCTTGAAACTACTGCAACCAATCTTTTCAAGATAGCTGGATGATGACACTCATCCAATAAAGCATTTATTTTCTGCAATTTTATTGTTTCACTGAATTACTCATACACGGGAGACATATTTTTCTGGTAATTTATCTCCCAGGCCAAGAATTCATTACAATTGCTCATATAATATTAGAGGTTTTGTGTACATACCTGAGAAAGGTCTCAAACAATGTTTACAATTGATGTTGCCTGGGAAGTAGGAAAAAAAATCACTCATTTTTTTGTGCAGATGGACATCACTGTGACTGCAGTGGTTTCTAATATTTGATTTTAATATTCATTGGCAAGTTGGTGAAAACAACCCTATTAGACAACTTCAACCCAGAAAGAGCAGACATGCTTTTTCCTGCTTCATTCATTATCTCTCAATAATCTCAACTGTGAAGGGAGTCAGACTCCAGACCCTTTGAAAATATAATGCAAAATCCACTTTTATTCAGTGTTTTTCCTACTATGCAAAATAGCCATTCTGTGTGGCTTTTTTTCTTTTTTTGGCTAATTAAAATTTAAGTGGTCCATCCTGCCTCATCAATTTTATAAAAGAGACATATTTATCATTAAAGACATGGTAAAATCCTTAGGATTTACTGTTTGTTCTCAAAATTATATCTCCAGTGACAAAAATGCAATAATTTTATTTCCCAAATCTGATGTTTCAATACTGTAATTTATTTAATCCATATTACAATTTCCTTAAAAATTCAAAGCTTTATGCTCTGGCTGCAAACAGTATTCTTCCCTGTTTTTCTTTTAATTATTTTTGAAATGCAGGCACAATCACATCTATAAAATTACATATATATCTTGCTGTGTGAGACAGCCAATCCTGTCCCTCATGTATCAGAGACATCAGAAAGAGTTTTGTTATCAATGCTTATTGTTCCATTGACTTACGTGAATTTAGATGAGCTTCATTGTGAGTTTATCTGATGATGGACCTCTGGTGAGGATTAGGCATAACCTAACAGCTACTGCAAATTGCATTTAGCCTTTATAATTAAGCAGACATAAATAAATCAATGGAGGAATTAGTACACTGAAGGGTCTCCTCAATGCAAACAAGCTGTGCAGTCCCTGAGATGGGCATTAGTCAAGCTAAGCTAGGAAAGGCAGCCTTCAAAATAATGCTCTTTTTTTTTTTTTTTTTTTTTTTTTCTGAGCAGTGAGATTTAAAATTTCTATGGAATAAAAAAAAAAAAAGACTAATAGCATTCTTGAGAAAGAAAATTGTGGGAATAAGAACATCAATTGTAGGAATGACTGAGAAAATTATTTAATTGACACTAACAAAAAGATTTAGATAAAAAAGTATGATGGGCAAGTGATGGATTGGGCTTTTCAGTATACAAGAAGGTTTTCTTTTGCATCTGACTGTAGTGGAGATGAAGAGATCATTTCACTCTAATTTGACAGGAAGGTGCAAATACTATAGATGAAAAATCAGAATGAAAACTGCAGGTTCAAAAATGTTTCAAATACATTTTATGGGAACATCAAAACTAAAATTAGTCGAAGCTCACAGAATTAACACATTTTTGTAACATTTCTTGAAGGCAAAATTGGACATCTCTTGATGTAACTTCTTTGGGCTTTTTTTCAAATAACATAACAAAAGAAAGCATTTTGTGGCACAAAGAGGCTTCATGTTTCAAAAATTACTTAGTGGAGATTAACAGCTGAAAGCTAGGGAATTTTAGTCAAAAGTGCACTTTTGATAAGATAGAGGACCACATCACTTTGCAAAAATTATATTGCTATTTTCATCTTCTATCTAATCTGAATTGTGAGGATCATGCAATAGCTGAGAGAACAGTACCAAATAACGTCTGCAAAGCTGAGCTTCCCATGTATGTAAATCAGCATTTAAGAATTGCATAAAATAAGCTTTATCCCAGCAGTTTTTGCTCAGAGACCCAAAGACAAGGCTAGACTATTACAACCTTACTGCATCCAACAAAAGAGGGTAGGAAATAGAAATACAAGACACAGCTGTTGCTTCTGTCTTGGATTGTGAACATTATGCTACGTTAAAGTAAAAAAAGGTTTGCTTTTAAACTAGTGAATGAAAAGTGTGCTGTTCAAAAGTTTGCAGAGACTCTCTAGCAGTTTCTGGAAAAGGAGCTGTAACTATAACTTATTCTGTGCAACATTTCTGTTGTTTTCTCATTGAAAGATAAATGAATTTGAGGGACTTGCAGTGAACAAACTAATTTGTTGTAGAGAAAGTGTAATTTAGCAGGGGGGGAAATGGGACTAATACGGGAATCTCTGCTTTGTAATTCAGTTTTGCACATCCCGGATACCATCCGTAACCGCAGCTAAGATAAGCAAACTGGTCAAACTCCACTGGTTGTAAACGCACGGGCCAGGGCTAGTGCGGTCACTGGAGAGAGCTAAATCCCAGGCTTTTATATATAAAATATCTAACCCTGAAAGAAGAGCTGTCTCAGGCACAGAGCGGCGGGAAGCACAGAGCCTCTCCCTGCTGCTGGACAGCGGGCACGGGCCAAAGGGATTGCAGGGGCCGCGAGAGAAGCGCGGGGAGCTGCGGGGCTCGGCAGCAGAGCAGAGTGCTTCTCTCGGGTACCTTCTCTCCGGTACCTTCTTTCAGGTACCTTCTCTCGGGTACCCTCTCTCGGGTGCCTTCTCTGAGGCACTGTCCCGTACCCGAGTCTGTGACAAGTGATGCGCGCTCCCCTGCCGCGCCCCTGTCCCCCCTTGTCCCCCGGTCCCGCGGGCGCAGGCACAGGGCAGGGGTGATGTGATGGCAGCTCCCGGCTCCCCGCCTGGCGCTCCCGAGTACCTCTCATTGGATTGCCGGGATTTCTGCCCTCCCAGAGCGGCGGGCGGCGAGGGGGATGGCCGGGGGAGGCGGGGGCGGCTCCGGCTCCGCTGCCATAAAGCGCGGCGGGAGCGCGGCGGGGCCGGGCCATGCAGTGAGAGCCGCCGTGGGACCAGCACCGCCGGGGACACACCGCCCGCATCAAGGTACCCGCGGTCCCGGCCCTTCTCCCTGCGGGAATTGGGCTGCCCGGCCCCGGGGAGCCCCTGCCCACCCGCTTCCCAGCCAGCGTTTACCCCGCTGCGGTTTTTTCCAGATGCAGAGGTGCACCGCTTTCCTGCTTCTGCCTTTAATCCTCTGTGCCACCCTCTCGGAAACACTCGGGCTGGTGTTCTCAGTAAGTATCCGCGAACCTCCCACGGATACACACTGTTCTTAGACAGGATTACAAGGGGTACAGCACTCAAAACCATTTCGGGCTATAAACAGTTTGCCTTTTTTTTTTTTTTTTTTTTTTTTTTTAATCAGCTAAGAATTTGGAGCTTTTGAATACTAGCCCTCTTGTAAAAAAAATGCTTTGGCTAAGAATGTCGAGTTGCTAGATGAAAATTGAATGGGTGTCCCACCTTCCTCCAAAAGGATGATGTACCTATGGAATTCTTTTATGAAGAGGCTGTCATGTAAATCCGAGCAAGGAAAAGAAGCATTGCTGTTTGTTAAGGTGGCTATCAGATGGTAATATAAACTTCACGTATAAAGTCGAAATTTCTGCCTCTGAAGTGTGATTTGCAGTCATCACTTATGTGGTGTGAAACAGTGAACCACATGGATGTCAATAGCAACACTATAGACTTAGACAGGGAGGGGGCGAGAGCTCACCATGAATATTTACATCAATATGATTTGCTTTATTTTTAAATATTTTTTCTTGATTTTGAGCCTTCAGAAGACTTTCTGCTAAGAGAATGTCCTTTTGAGTGTAGGTCTTGCAATAACATACTTGTGGTTTTTTCCTTTAAGGCGAAAGACAAAAGGGGTTGGACTTTGAATAGTGCTGGTTATCTACTTGGGCCACGTAAGTCAGGCACTTCTTTTTTCATTATTTCAAAATGCAAAAATTGTGTTATTCACTTCTCTGAATACAGCAATTTCATTTAAATCTGCAAGACTGAACAAACTCATTTGGAGAAACACTTGTTTATATGTTTGTTACATGCTTATCAGAGAACTGAGGTGTCTGAGACAACAGCTGTTCTTTTTTAAGGAAGTGTGATGGGAGGCCTTATGTCCAGAAACACATCTGCTCATATTTTGTGCTTCTGAACTGTAATTTTCATATGACAAATATTGCACCACAAGAAGTGTCAAAAAACCTTATAGCATCTTATACATCATGGGCAGAATGACAACATGTGTACCTCTCCATGTATTTCAGATCTCACCTTTAAATTTTTTTACAAAATTTCACTACTTGACTTTATAAGACTACATTTTTTTTTAATTAAAGCAAAATAAATTAAAACAGTAACTTGCAAACTCAAGACTGTTAACAGTTCACTATGTGAAAAATCAATATACAAGGTGGTCAAAATACAGGAGTACTGGTTTATGGGTGGAGATAACAAATGCAGGTTGTAAGGAAAGTAATGCAGAACTAAGCTGTCTCAAATGTTTGTCTTTTTACCATTAATTATTGTGAATGTGGTTACATTCATCACCAATGTTTCTGTATTTTCAGTCTCAGTAACACATAGACAAATACTACACATACTTACTCTGACACTCTTCATTATTTTTAGCTAACAATAAGGAGACATAAAAAAAGAAAAGAAGTTTAATGCATCTTAAATGCATTTTTACTGCTTCTGTAAATGTCTGGAAGTATATTTGCCCAAAGCAGATCAAAGCAAATTGGAAAAAATACTGTGGGGAGATGTGCTTGTCGAAGACTTCTATTTTGCATCTAAGACTGGATAATAGGAATCATCCTTTGTTGCAGGCCATATTGATCAGCTTTTACTGAGTCAATTAACTCCTCTGATTTTTACCTTATTTATCAGATGCAGTAGATAACCACAGATCTTTTAATGACAAGCATGGTTTCACTGGTAAACGTGAAGTACCGCCTGATGAGGATATTAAAGCAGGTAATGAAGGTCTGGAAACATGCATTTTTGAATTGTTTTTTATTTTAAGTAATTTATTTACTATTGAACTGACTACTTGGATACAAAACTATTTCTGCATTTCAACAGAAATCCTAATAAATATATGAAAGGAAGAAAAATTACATTTGGCCACTCATCGTGATCTTTATATTGTCATAGATTACAATATCTAAGTGATTAGGAAACTGTATCAGAATTTTGTTGCTTTAAATGTGTAATAGATCATATTGCTTTGAAAAAAACTTTGGTTTTTTTTCTCTTTTCATATGTTCAAGTAAGTATTTCAAATGCCACTCTAGCCCCTCCAGAGTTAATTGTTTTTTTGCAAAGGAGTCCATAAAGGTGACTTCAGTAATGAAGGCTATAGAAAATACAAAGTCTCAGTATTTCCTATGATTAAGCAAGGTGGCTTATCTTCATTAAAAGATTGAGAACCTGGCCACAACTGAAGTCAAAATGCTTAGATGTTGCATGTATCAGAATTTAGCAAATGACAATGAAAAGGGTCAGCCTTGTTCTGGATTTGTCATCCAAAGCTGGGCCTCTAAGATATATGTCTATACTCCCTTATGAAGAGAAGCTGACAATTTTTAGGCTTTATTTTGAACACCTATTTCAGGATAAGGTACAGAAACTTCAAAAAAACCCTGTTTTAATCTCCTGAGGAGACACTTAACCTGCTGCAGGCATCTAAAGTGAGCTGGGATGAGCCTCACCCTTAGGCTGATAAAAGTGACCAGAATATTTCCTGAGTACATCTATCACTCCACTAATGGGGGCAAAACAAAGGTTTTGGAGCCTATTTTAAATAACACCTAGAACAGTGCAAGTGTAGTTAACACTAAATAAGTTCATAAATAAAGGACATGTGCTGAATTACAATCTCATACATGCATACTTCGTAAAGAGAAGTTTAATATAATTAATACATTTCTTAATTGTTAACGCTCTCTGGAAGGACTGTCAGTTCAGTTCTCGCACATTTATAGAGTGGGGGTTTGGGGTTTGTGTGTGGTATTTTTTTGGTGCTGTGCTTTAGTTTTTTTTGTTAGTTTTTAAGGAAAAGAAAACCAGCCCTGCTATCTCAAATACCAGGATTAAAACAATATATGGCCAGTCAAAAACAATGTAAAAATAGGGGATTTGTAATCCAGCAGCAGAGATCACTGTGCAACATGTTGTCATTTGTGTATATCCCAGGTCCCTTACAGCAATATGAATTTAGGATTTATGGAACTTTCTTGCTGGGTACTGTTGAGCCTCCACAATTGCAGATAAGCCCAACCAAACTTGTCAGGATGAGACTTCAAAATTACACAGCTGCCTCTGTTATGAACTTAATTCTCTTCTCTCGCCAAATGTTTTATGAAGCTGAAGTTTATTACAGAGTTCCTACCCAAAGGAGATTAAAAAAAAATATATATATATATAATGCATAAGAAATGCATGAGGTAATCAGTATATTATTTTAATTGAAAATGAAGGATTTCTCCTGATTACGTACAAAAGCTTATTAAAACAGCAATATATGCACATATTATTTTATTAATTTGAAAGAGTTCCTGCAAAGGACTGTGCTCTCCTTGAGGGAATATTGCAAAATTCATAAGCTCTCCAGATAACCTAGAAAAATTTGTAACCTGTATTAGGGACCTAACACTAGCTCCAGCAAAAAAAAAAAACCCCACAACAAAACTACAACCATCTCTGAGCATAATTAGTCAAATCTTCAAGTTACAAGATCAAAATTGTTTGTTTACTGAAATCTGCAAGTTATCCACTGTGCAGAATTAAGGTAAATAACAGCAATATATAAGTACAATATTTCCGAGTCATGGAGGAAAAATATATATCCAACAAATTTCACATGGATAATAAAATCTTGATAAAAATGTGACTAATATAATAATAATGAAAATTCATAACAGGTTAGGTGGGAATTGAAGCTAAGCAAAAATTCAAATAAAAGAGTATTAATTATGCAAATAATAATAACATCTTTGTGTGAGTTCAAAGACTGGAAGACAAGATTTTTAGGTGCAAGCCTATTAAATGCATTCTTAAATGCTTATTCTCCTTTTACCAGAAACCTTTGTGTCCCTTGCCACTCTCATCAATGTTTTAAATTTGTGCTACAGAGCTCAGTCTGCCTTCTGACCCATCTGATAATGCTTTCAGTGATGCAATAATGGACTGTTTGTTCTGGTGGCCACATGTGTGTGCAGAGAGTTAAATATCTTGGGGAAATTATTTACCATTTGTTCTTAATAGAGAGCAGTTTTCCATCCTAAAAATAGCAAGGTGTCTTTCTCCAGCTCCCAGCTGATAGTTTTTTCTCTCATTTACAGATGCAGAAAGCATCCTTCTCAAAAGTGCAATAGCCAGCAACCATTAGGCCATTCAAATAGCCCCAAAAAGCTATTTTCCCAAGCTTGAAGACAAGTGTATTGGATTAGATACCTATGTGAAAAACAGCTTTCTGGACTTTTAGAAAAGCATCCAGGCCAAGGTTTTGGGTCGCAGATCACTTCTATGTCACTTGAAAGGCTTATTTGGAACAAAATCAGGCTACATGAATGAACTTTTAACTGCTCTGTAAAGCTGACAAGTTTGTTTTCTAAATTTGAAATTTAACCTATCCCTGCAGGCTCAGGTGGGCACAAGGGAGAGAGCTGGGAACAGAGGATAACTCTCTCTGCAAGAGATCTCATAAGCCCTAGAGACCACAACCATTAAGGTGCCAAAGCAGCTCTTATGCAGCAATGGCATATAAAACTGGGTGATTTTGATTCCAAGAATTGCAGCTACCTACCTATGAGGTAGGCTTTGCCCTTCCATGAAATGAGGTTTTCCATCAAAGATATTAAGGAAAAATGAATTTCAGATAGTTTTGGTGGCTTTTTTCCCCTCCCCAGATTACTCATAAACTTAGCCACAATATCTCATATGATGTGTCTTTGAACCATGTTATCTGTGAGTAACAACCAGCTTTTCTACAGGGAACCTTGGAAGACCCCTGGCTGATGAAAACATTGTGCGCACAGTAATTGAATTTTTGACTTACTTGCATCTGAAAGGTTAGTGAGTACCTTTTAATCTTTCCCAGGTTCTGGTAGGAAATTTACTGAGGAGGCAAAACTGTCCCTTAATGTAAACATCTGCTGCAGATTTGAATGGGCAAGACTTGCAACAGCACCTCTGGCATCACTCTGAGACACAGAGTGCAGGTGATCCTGAGACATTGCAGCTCAGTGGAGACCTGATGTAGCAGAGGTCTGATTCCATCATGTCTTAGTGACAAAAGAAACACATCTCCCTTTTTGCACATATTCTACAATAAATCTGCATGACAAAATTGCAGCAAGACTGAGCTCAATGTTGGCAAACAACTCAGACTGCCCTGAAGTACAAACTCTGTACAGCCTCACAGCTGTGACAGGAGTTGAAATGCTGAACTTACAGTTGATTCTGTAAGAATGGTAACTTTACTCTGGAGTTCAGTGAAGAAGAAATGTATCTGCTTCTGGGTTTTCATTAGTTTTGCTTTTAAAAAATCCAAACAAACACAATATTCAGCTTTTAAAAACCTCTTCAGCTCTTCCTCATTTTGTCTACAAAATGTATAAAAACATAATAGATAGTTGCAAAGAAACCAACAGGTAGAAAAAAGTTATTCTAATGCAAACGTCTGAGGATTTTTTCTGTCTCAAAAAGTAGACAATTCAATAAATTGGTAACTTCAATGTTCTTACTTCTGTATACAACAAATTATAAGCAACTTTGTGCCAAGTGTATGCTGTGGAACTGTGTGTATATTTGTGTTTTAATTTCATTATTAAAAGAGACTTTCAACAGATTGGTTCATTTTCTGCATACCTGAGATGCTTTTTACTCATTGTTTTCTGAATTATTTGTATCCACTGAAGGAAAATAATTCTCATTACTGAAAAGGTGAGCCCAGTGTTTATGGAATTGAATTTACATTCGAAAAAATTGTATATAGCTGGTCCTAAGGGCCTGAAATAATTCAAGTACATATTTGAAGTAGATTGTTAGCATATATATTTACTGTGGACAAAGTAGTAGTTTGTTGTACCACTGTGAAGAAAGAGCCCAAAACTCTCCTATACTCTGCTGGGTGAGCCTAGGAAGTAAAATCAATATTTGGACACAGCAAAAAGGGTGTAAAATAAGCTCTATCACATACCTTCTGAGTAGGCTAAAAGCTGCTAAATCAGACAAGAAAATAAAAAGTGTCTCACAGACATACAAATTACTTCTTCCCTGCAACAAAAAAGCTTAAAAGGCTCCCTTCTTAGGACAGTGATGACAAACAGTTGTTTTTATTTAGAAAAGGTGGTGGCATTACCATGTCCTCATGAAAACCAAAAAATGAATCTCCAGATCTGGCTTTTTGCAGACATAGTTCCTGTAGTCTCAGGTTGCAACAGACACAGAATGTTATCACAGATTATCTTTTTACAATATGTATTGGAAAGGCTTAATACAAACTCTTACACAAACCTAGAACTGTAAAGTAAGTATGTGAAAACCATCTTTTTGAATGATAGAGGTCCTTCAACACATTTGCTTAAATGAAATTTTACTGCATTAAATGCATTGGTTTAGATATGTTCCTTGGTGGGGGAAGGGGGAAAAACCCCACTCATGGGGTTCAGATTCAGGCAATAGTTATTCAGATTAGATATACATTTTATTCTGCAAGAAAAATGTGGTATTTTTACTGCTAAGAAGCACCATGGTAATAACTAAAAGTGGCCTTCCTCTCTTTAAGTGCTTCTCATAAAGAGCAACATGTAGAATGGCAGCTGTAATGAGATAATATTATGAGTTGCTGGGATCCAGCAATATCAATTGACATAATAAAATTAATGTAATTTTTGTTCTGTCACTGCTGTTTCTAAAATGTTAAAAATGTATCAGGAAGATATTATTGACATTCAAAAGAACATACCCCAGTATTTTATAAATTAAAATATGACAAGATGAGAAAAGTATTAAAAAATTATATTACTGAAACTGGATTTCATTACTTAACTGCTAGGATAAATATGCATATTTACATATGTGTTAATTATCTTTTTTCCCCTGTTTTTCAGAGGTGGGAGCACTTGACAAGCTACCTACACCAGAGGAAATTAACCAGTCTTGAAGAATGCATTTTTATTTTGTTGCAGTGTAGATTTAGACTGAATTCTAAACAAAAGACCTAAATGACCTGAAGTTAAGAAGTATAGTTTGCACTTATCTGATAAATGGTAAAGTGTTCTGCCCTCTGGTTGGTTTGTTGGATTATTTTTTGCTTTTTTTTCCTTCCCTCCCTCTCCTGCAATGTCATCATGTATAATTTTGCTTTGGTAAATATTTTCTGTAGGTAAATGATAAAATAAAAATAAAGAGCAACAAAGTTGTTTCATTTTAAAAGTATGTACATACCAGCACAGAATGAATCATATAGAAAGCCTGGGGTAAATTGTAAGATTACACTGCATCTATACTCTGCAATATTAGTGCATAATAAAACATATACACACATATATATATTGGGTACTTTAAATAACAGAAAAACAACTTCAGAGTGCTGCCTTGCAGAATCATTTTAAGTCACAGATCTGTCAACACTTCTGTGCCTCAAGGAAACATTACTTTCTGTTCATATTTTCATAGACATGACATAAACTCCTGTGCATAATAAATTTCATATTATTCACCTGTACTACACCAGCCCATTGGCTGGAGCATACCTTGATGCAATGCAAATTTAAGTGGTCTGTGCAGGTTTCCACAAATCTTTTGTGCAGGATTCCCATGTCATTGAGAACACTGGGGCTGCAATTTTAATGGAGAAAAGCTCCTGGCTGCTGCAAGATTAAAAATACACTTCATGAGAGGCTTCACTCTGAGTCCAGCAAAGCACTTGGATCCATGTTTAAGCCATGCAAAACAGCTTTGATGTACTGGACCAGGATGCTTGGCCTGCACACAATAAATGTCAGATCGAGACTGAGCAAAGGTTTGAGAGGTTACAGAACCTTAGAAAGGTTTTTCATATTCAGATGACTTTCAGCCTCTGCACAGTGCAATGAAATATCATCCTTTCAAAATGATGACGTGCACTGGAGTGCACAGACTGACAGAAAATTTGCAGACCTTTATTATCTAATCTGTTTTTCACTTTCAGCATAGCAGAATTCTAAACTCCAAACCACTAGTGTGTGCCTTGTACCCACCCAGCTATTCAGGCTGAGCTCTTCCTGTGATAGTCACTCAGCCTCTGATCTCATGTCTGATGTTCTCACTTTCCAAAGTGTGAAAATACACCTCACATCACATCCAGTGAACGTCTGAGCAAACCCTTCACACTATGTTTTACTGGATTTCTTTTTGTTTTTTCAGAGTAATGAAAAAAGCATACGCTGCTAATATACATGCTGCTAGTTCAACATTATTTGGCAAATTTATTGGCTTCCCAAAATGTGAAAAAAAAAAAACAAACAAACCAAAGTGAAGTTTTACCTCTGTACATTAGTATAGCTCAGTAAGTTCAAACTCTCATTTCCACTAGTAATGCCCACGCTTCTCACACAACCTTGAAACAGAGCTCACTAAAATCAAGAGGTTTTCTTTTCATTGACTTCCATGGACTTTGGCTCATTGACTGATGAATCCAGGATCTATTTGAAGAATTCAGTAGCAATCCATCTCTGGCAAAGCAGCTGAATCTATGATCAAATAAAAGGAACTTCATTTAGCATTGACTCTCTTTCCTTTTAAAAAAATAAAAATTTAGAAAAAATAGGATAGAATTAGAAAACAGTTATTACTTTGATCCAATTAGCATACCTTCAGCTCCTTAGAGTTGGAGTCATCCTGTTAGAACAGTTATTCAAAATCCTGAAATTTGAAATTATTTGAAATAGTGGAAAACTCCTAGAATCAGGAAGATTTACAGCACTGTCTAAACAGGGAAGCTCACGAGGTTTTACATTCTGCTGCACTGTTATATGTATATATTATAGAAACCAGATTATTATAAACTAATTACCAAAAGCAGTCCACATACTTTCATTTAATAATTTCTGCATTCAAACACATATTGATAATATTCTGAAATAGAGACAGGATAAATTTTCAGCTTGTTTTTTCACCCTTGTAATGCCTCTTATCTTTGCAAATATGAAGGGGGGAAACCGCAGTAAGGAGTTCTTCTGGATCAATTTTGCAATTTCAGTAACATTATTATTTTCGGTAACATTATTATTTTATTAATTTTATTTTATTTATATATTAATATATAAATATATTTTATTTAAAATATATCTTAAATCACTTCATCTCAAACATAAGTTCTGCAAATATTTGTAATAATATCTCCATAATGAACCGCTTGGACAAACACCCAATAAAAATGTCCAATGTCCTTTAATCCACAATTTGAAAACAGTAGGTTTCAATGGGACAAATGGACAATAAAAAAATGTGACATTTCCGTAGAAAATAAGAATTAAAAAAATCCCCTTTTCTATGTCATAGAATTCATTGCTTATTTGCATATATTCTATTCCATTGTTGTGTAGGATTAGGTTAAATTTATATTTACACTACAGACAAAAGCCAAATAAAAAAACCCCAAAAGAGTTAAGTATTTCTTGTAATGTTTGCCAGTGATATGAAATTATCCTTCGTGCAAATTTAACTCTGACAATGAACAGAAGGCTTGCATGATGCTGAATGACTGGACAATAAAATGGAAGATGAGATTAAATGCTGATGCAAGCAAATTATGTACGCAGAGAAAAACAACTCTAATTTTACATATGCATACTGATGCTCCAAATTATGTCTGGAACTATAACTCAGACTCATTGTACACAGTCCTCTAAAAAAGTTTTTTTTTAAACCTCAATAGTGGAAAGCAAGCCAAAGGGAATAGTAGGAATTACAATGAAAATATACCATTCCCAATTTTTATACCAACCACAGTTCTGGAGAACTTTTTCACTGCAGAGAAAAAAATCACTGTCAGGCCAGAAAAGCCATAGGAAAAAGTGACAAATATTTTTACAGTGACTTTCATACACAGAGAAACTGAATATGTGGGAGATAAGAGTCTTAAATATTGTGCTAAAAGTGCTTTTTCTTGTAACCCAAGATATAATGATTAGATGCCAAATGATGATAAAATTATTAAGTAACACTTTTAAACTCCACAGCCAGAAAAAGCCAGAAGGCTTTTCCATACATCTCCTGATGCAACTGTGGCACAGGACTTTGTGGAAGCCATAGGTTCTGAAACAGTTCTATTCATGAAAGAAAAGTCCTTCAAGGTTCAAATGTTTAATTAAATTTTTTTCAGACCAAATTAGGTACGTGAGAGCACAGAACTATAAAACAACCCTTAGAACCTGATCCAGGGATCAGAATTAAACAAGACTCCTTCAGCTGCACAACATCTGATGCCAGTTTACAACAGAAACTTGGAAGTCACATATATTTGGCTAAAAATTCTGGAGAAATACTGAATTCTGAGCACTACCTATAACAAAAAGCCCGTATAATTTTATACAATGTTTCACCTACCTGCCAGGTAGTCTCATTAAAACTTGTTTAAATGCAAATTGGTTCAGCATAAAAGGGGGAATTTCTGGTGGCACAGCTGGCACAGAAGAGTCTATTTAGATGAGGAAGTCATCAGGGAGCTGACAGGATACATGTATTTTCCCACCTGTCTATTCATGTAAAGGTCAGCCTGCAACATTAGCATAGAAAAATTAGGTAGGACTCAGAGTACTGAGGACATTTGAGGGGTTTTGATATTGGGGTTGCCAGAATCCTGCTTCCTTTTGCCTGAGGTCATAGAGGAGCATGGTGTGATTCTGTTTACAAAAGATTCTCACATACCCTTAAGTGAAGAAACATTAATAGCTCCCAAAAAAAAGTGGCAAAAGCATTTTAACTTTATTTCAAATTATTTAAACAATATTTAATTCAAATTATTTAAAATACTAAAAAAATATTTTAAAATTATGTGACACAAAATGGAAGCAATTCAGAGAAGTATTTTGTAGTTTGTCCAGAATGCAGATTACCTCAGGAGTTTCCTAAGCTTAAAAGGGTTAACTGAAAGTTTAGACTCAAGTGTTAATAGCAGAACAGTTTTTCACCAATACACAGAGTACATTATTGGTGCAGTACGTCTGTAACTATTTTGTGTTCTTTGACTTATTTTTAAATAAATGCAAATAATAATTCCGCTACTTAATTGTATGAGGACTGAGCATGACCCAGCCATAGAAAACTACAGCTCACTGATCCCTTTTTTACCCAGATTCAGCAGTTGGGTATACAAATATAAAGTTGTTAAGGTTTTTAACACGTCAGAGCACTGGACATTTGTCAATGCATGTGCCACACTCAGAACTTCCCAGAGCTGAGCTGTGAAACGCCAGAGCTGAACCAAAGACGGGAATTATTTTATCTCCTTGCTTGTAAAGGAGCTAAAATGGTATCAAAAAACTTATTCCCTAAAACTTTATCAAATTCCCTTCAGATTCTACTTATGCATTTTAATTTAATTGATCTCCACAGATTTTTTTCTAATTATGTATATATAAATCGTACAGCCTGAGTGCTAGGAGACACGAGTCTCATATAGAAGTCTGCCTGAGGAGAAATTCTAAAATACCTGTTACCATTCAGATTGTATTTTTTTACAGTTTCTGAAAGAAATGTTGCCTATGTATCTCTTACCAACACAAATATAATTAATTCAGAACATAATACTTCTATAATTTCCCCTTCAAAATGTTCACGAGATATTGCATTTCCTTGAAATTATTCTATTCCATTAAAAATCATTCTACTGGAAAATAATTGACCAGATTTATGAACATTATGGCTATTATTTACATTTATCAATATTAAACCTAGCATTTCTTGACAAAACCTAAAACTGATGCTTCAATTATTTACATCAATATAAATTCCTCTGTTACAACTTCAGGAGTATTCTTGGCTTACTATTTATTCAGATGACAGCACAGGGAATCACACCTTGCTTCCCTAAGATCTTTCTGCAATTTGATTATGTTACCTGATTCTTCTTCAACTTCTGATCTAAGATGGTAGATTGAGGAATCATTAGCTTTCTGATAGTTTTCATATCTGTTGCTGTCTGCAGCAATTAAAATCCTTCCTAAAGTATTCTCCAAAGGTTTCTGTGAGAATTTGATGCATGTTTCCTGCAAATCAGAATTTGAGGACACTTAGATTGAGTAAGTGCTGCTAGAGTCTCTACAGGCACTCTGAGCTCTGGAAATGAAGAGGGCAGTTCTGAAAAATGAAATTTGAATCTGCTCCCTGCTAGCAGAGTGTGGGTGCTGGCTCTGGATCCAGAGCACCTTTTAAATGAGACATTTCAATTTCCTCCTTCAAATCAAGCAGAATGAACCCAGGCCCTAAGGCTTAGAGAACCAGTAGAAGCAGACAGGAAAAATAACCATGTTTTTACAGTTAAATGTTACATTTTTGCACCACTTTTCAAAAATCGGTTTTGCAAATTGTGCCTGCTTGGCTTTCCTGCTGATTACCCACTTAGCCACTCTTTAAAAATAAAGCTCATCAAATACAACATAAAAGGGCTAAATTCTGACCTATGAAACTAACTGCAGTGGTGCTGTTGACCTCAAAAGTACATTTACTTATATTAGCTAAGGTTCGACTCCATCCAGTGCAGCAAAGTTATTAAAATAAATTAATTTTAACAAATCTCAGATCTTACATAAAAAAAGTCAGAAATAATATTATAGTGACCCCTATTCTTTCAGCAATACTCCTCCTTTCCTCCTGCTGCCAAGCATGCCGTTCATTAATTCCTACTGTCACTTTGTGCTATCAGAACGGTCTACTGATCCCAGCCATTAAAGAAATTGTACTCTGTGTATTATTTATTTCATATCAGTGAAATTTCACTTAATTTCATTTAGTTCAAACTATCTAACACTTTTCCCCCAAAAATCTTTACACTTAACTTTTCTGTCTAATCCATTTTCATTTGAATTCCTTTTGCAGTGCACTTTATAGATGGTATTTTATTGTTCACCAGAGCCCTCAACCATCTGTTTAGTTAGACATAATAATTTTGTCATGTTAATCACTACTTTGATAGTCTTCTCCCCGTTCTAGCTATAGTTTAGAATAAAACATAGTAATTATCAAAAATTATTTTTTGTGACAATGTTGATAAATCAGATATTGCTGACTGGATAAAGGGAAGAAGATGTAACTTGCTTTTTTCCTTCTATCATTTGTAGTAGTTATTAACCATAAGCTTTATTCTTCACCTCAGCCAGACAGAAAGGAAGCTTTCCTTTGTGGGGAAAAAAACCTAATATTTTTCACCACACTACCTTTTGTGAATTCATAGTGGAGTCACATCTGTTGATAGACTTGGGATACATTCTTCAGAAGAATTAAAGCAATAAAGGATTTTAATCCTTTATTTTCAATAATGGTTTGAGGACTATTTTTTGGAGGTGTTAAGTTATTTTAAGATGCAGAAACACACTTTATTGGATCTATTAGACTATGAAGTCAAGTATTGGATTACCAATAAGATTTGAAATTTTAATTAGTTATATGAAATATGAACCATTATTAAAGCATGAACTTCTGTGCTCTTATAAATTCACCTTTATACACGTCTTAATCTTAGGATGGCAAAATAAATCCCCTCTGTAGGTGAAAGCTTGGAGAACACTAATAACTTATACTATCAAAGTTTTGTCTGTGTTGCTATTGGTTTACCTATTTCTCAGCAAAAATGTGATGTTATCCAGCAAATAAAATGAACTCACTGACATCTCAAGGGCAAAAACCTGCCAGGAAAGTGTCGAGAGCAACGTGACTGCAGGTTCTGGGCCACACAACACAGGACACCCTGCACTGGTGGCCACAGCCAGCCAGGGGTGGCTGTGCCAAGGCTCTGCCTGGGCCCCTACACCTGACTGGATGATGCAGGCATCACCTGAATTTCCTCTGAAATATTATAAGACGTTGGCACCACAATGCTTAAAATTATGTATGCTAGGGACTCACATCGCCTTCTGAAAACCTTACCCTTGTGCTATCCAGACCGGGGAAAATTCTTATAGGACTTTCAATTCCTGTTAGGGTTAATAATGCTAAAATCACATAAAAAGCTGAAATTATAGCCTGCAGCAGGAAGGACCTTCCTTTAGAAGAAGGAAGCTATGAATAAAAAGATGAACTCTGAATGTGCAGGCATGTTCTGAAAAGAGCCAGGAAACTCTGGTTTTGGTTATGGCACTTCCCTTCTGAGCTCCCTGGTACCATGTGCCAGCAAAATTACATGGAGGGGACATTACACTCTATTCCTGGCCTCATCTTCTCTTCAGCTCTGCCTTTTCTACCAAGCACTTTGTTGACCATGAACATGGGAATAATTTTTCCCTTAGCTGTTACTAAACCAGTGTGTTTCAGGAGAGTTACTATGCCCTGTCTCACAACACTTTTGGATTTTTTTTTTCCTAAAGGTAAAAAAACCACAGCTTGCTAAACATTGGTAAGCTTCAGATAAGTTTCAGATATTTGGAGGATCAAGGTTTGTGGCTTTCTTTGTTTGTTTTTTTTCTGATTTAAAATATTATGTAGATCATGTTAGGGCTGTTTGTTCTTAATGCTTTAATCTCAGGTTTTGTGCATGCAGGTGAAAGAAAAGATAAAGCAAAGAAGGTTGACAATTTAGAAGGCTGCAATATACTCCAGCACTGTTCTTCTGAGTGTAATAGATGGCTTAAATAGCCACAAGGTGGTAATAGTGTTCTTCATGGAAAAGCTACAGAGATGTCTGATTTGCTGAGAATGGTAACTACAAAGAACAGTAGTGCCTTTGGAAACGAGGAAGTGAAAACTTCCAGCAGAACACTCTGTGCTGGCTAAGAGAAAAATGCCCTGGCTCAGTGATACCCACTGACAGTAAACTGTGATTTAAAAAATGCCCTTGTTGTAGCACGACAAAGATTAAGTCAGGTGATAAAATCCACAAGAGTCATGCAGTGGCTGTCTGGGTAAATTGTCAAAGGTTTAGTGAGAAATAACAGAGAAAAAGCACTCATAAGTTTTGCATTAGAAATAAGTAAGCTTATAGCTTCTTCTGATTTGAGCTGAGGTATAGTTAGTTTTCTTCTCAGTGGCTAATGTGAGGCTGTGTTTTGAATTTCTGCTGAACACTATTAATAATATAGAACTGTTTTTGTTATTGCATGAGCTTAAAAGTGCTTAAAAGCACCAGAAAAAATCCTATATATATAAAACAGGTATTTTTTATATACATCTGTTTTATGTAAGGAAAACCTACTGATTTAGAGAGTAATAAATTTGGATTCTTGGGCTTGTAGACAGTGTATCAGTCCCAGACATACACCAATTGTCTAATCATTCACATAAATCAACAGAAACATTGCCAACTTAGAACACTGTATGAAAATATAGCATATGTCTGTGGACTCCAAGGAACACCCTGGTGTTAAAGTTGCATGAAAAAAAAAAATCCAGATGATGGATGGGTGCTATATTTATGCAGGATAAAAACTGTGACACATGCAAAGTGACACTTCAACTTCTAATCACACATCTCAGCAATTATTATGTGGGCAAGCAATTTCATTACAAGGGTTTACTTACTCTAAGATGATACTTGAAGAATATTATTGCAATGCAATTTAAAATTTATTTCACATAATTTCATATGGGATCTGTAATTCTTCTTGTGTTCCCCTTAACCCCTGCTAGCCATGGCAGATTTTACAGCACAGTGTCTACACAGGCCAGAACAAAAGGAAAATTATTAATTTAAATTTTACCATCA